GAAAATCCCACATTGTAACTCCGGTAAAATGTTACAGGTACACTCCCATTTTAAGACAGAGCCTGGCTCACCATCACAGAGATACTGAGATCACAGACTATATCTTCATGCTTCAACATAAAATGTCCACTCATCCGTTTAGAAACTGTGTATAGATGTGCCTCTTTAGTCATTGTTGTGGAAATGTCTCATTCAGCCGTTAAACAACATTCAGGAAGGTTTAGCCTGTGGTGTTTAAATCTCATATCATCTTCCTTAGAGCTTCTTGCTTGGTTTCATGTGAAAATGCTGGTACTATCTGTCAAAAAACAAAAAAACGAAAGCCTAGTGGGGTTTATATATAGGAGGAATTAAAATAATATTTGAAAGTGTATTTAAACTTTTTTTGATCTCACTATTCTTACAGACTGCACAGCAGACACATTTTCTCTTTATAACTTTGCCTGATGTATTTAGCAGGCATCATTACTAAGCATCAGCTAAGATTACTCTAACTTTGGGTTTGACCCAAAAGAAAAGGTCAGTTTTTATTTCACTCAGATTCAGTCGTTGTGTAGCTGTTACCTGAGAAGGTCTCGCAAAAGAACTTTGGTGCTGATGAGTGCAGGACAACCCTGGGTCTCAGCTAAACAGCAGCTTAAAGAGATAGTTCAGCCAAAAATGAAAATGTATTCACCCTCAAGTTGTTCCAAACCTGGGACTTTCTGTCTTCTGCAGAACACTGAAGAAGTTATTTTGAAGAACATTAGTAACCAAACAGTTTTTGTCAGCATTGACTTGCATTGGCAAAAAAAAAAGACAACTTGTTTTGTGTTCCACAGAAGAAATACATTTCCTATTAATAAGATGTCATTTAATTTGTTTTCTTTCTTTCCTTACCTTTTTTTTATTATTATTATTTATTTGTTTTTGGTGGTCAAAAAAAAGTATATTTTCAGAATCTATGGTTGTCATATAAGTTAGAACTCTATTGGATCTTTTATGTTTTCCAGATAATAACAATTTCAGAATTAAGAAATTATATCAAACAAAACAAGCTTTTTAATGATAATACTTGATTTAATGGCCTGTAAAATATACCGTGCAGCATGCCATTCCGGGAAATCGTGCTTGAAAACAAATCTATTAAAATCACAGAGTCTTATGGCATTCTTCATACATTTGCAATAGGAAATCACAATCTTTCTTGCCCTCCATAATATCATAGCAGTGATAAGTAACTCATATAAAAAGAACAGCTTTGCCACTATTTCAAAGCACCTTCTACTGTTTGGTCTAATAAAAAATCTACTTTTAGATGTAAAAATATATATTTATATTTTCAAATAAATAAATACATACAATAAATATGTGTATCAAGAACTGTATAAATAGCATCATGTGAGATGGCATCTCCTGTTCTCCACCGTCCCAGTTCTGTCATCTCAGAGCATCATGTACTCATTGTTCCTTCAAGTCCTTCTAAACCCATATCAAATATTTCCAGAGCAAAGCAGCACCATGTTTAAAACCTCCAAAACCCTCAGTTTTGGTTTTTATGGACATGTTATGCTACTAGTCAGTTACAACCAGCAACAAAGACACCAATTGCACCAACGTAGGGAGTCTTTCGAGGACTGTTGTCTTCACCATCAGTACTGGCCCGTGCATTTCCAGAGCACACCTCAGGTTTGGACACTTTAGCCGAACTTTAGCATCTCCACGTCATGTAGAGAAGAAACTAGGCATCCCTCTCGCCCTTTAACTGGGACGGATGGTCTCAGCTGTGTCCAAGCACTTCTTTGTAAAGTTCTGGAACTTTTTCAGGGTCCACTGGTCTTGGAAGAAAGTGAGTGAACTTTTGATGTCTCCTAGATTTTGTCCCATCACGTGGCGTGCCGTCCTTGTTGAGAGCCACGAAATATCTCGCTCCTCTCTCTCCATGCTTGTAGAGATTAGAAGAGTATGTGTTGTACCAGTTCTCCTCAAACTGCTCACGGAAGACACATTCTGCTGTGAGTTTCTCCTAAGAAACAAAAAACGTGTTAGTGAAATAATTCAAGCATAATTAATAACACAGAGAGAGGTGGTCAAAATGATAAAACATATATGCCATCTACTGGGCTTGAATAAGAACAACAATCATGCAGGATACTTTTTGAATTGGGTGAATTCTTAAAAAGTCAAAATTCTGCTTACAGAGCCATAAAGTTCTCCCTTGTCATTCATCCCAAGGTAGAGACCACTGTCCACTCCACGGATGCTTATTAATCCAACTGCAAGGCTTATGAATTCCAAAATACCTGGAGAAGAATAAATCAATTGTTCAGGAGATGTTCTTTGAAGTCTGAACCCTCATCACACATTGTGAGAAAGTTGAAATGCTATGCATATTCCATCTGCATAGACTATTATAGAGTTAAAATAAATATAATTTAAAATTTTAAAAGTTAGTTCTTACACAATTTTCTGTAAAGACTTCTGCTGTTCTTTGGAGTTGGTTGTTTATTTATATTTACAAATTTAAAAAAGTAATTGTTATTACATTTGACCTTTTTCATATCAAGTTATTGAATTTGTGGGTTATTTAAAAGTGACCATAACAACTTTAAGTTGACCTATACGAACTATAAAAACGGGAGAACCCATATTTTTAAAAGCGTACGGTCAAAGTGGGTACATATTATGATTCATATTCTGTGTAAACAAACCAATCATGCTGAAAAGAAAGTGGGAAATTACCAAAACGACTGTGGTCCTTTCTCGTGCCCTGCACGATGCCATCCGGGAGTATTTCAAGGTGAAATCCAGTCCTGCAGTACAACTGTCTTCTCCGCAGGATCCCTTTCAAGTGCGTTAGATCTGCGGAGGTGCTCCGTGACAATCTCTCTGCTGGAACTAAATGATCATTCAACAGCCCGAGGTTTTCTCCTAGAGGTGGTAGAAAGAACTGTGATCCGACCTGTCCGAAACCCTCCAGGCTCTGTAAAAGCGTCCCGATCTCTCCCATAGCTGCCATCACAAACCGCCAGTCCAGCAGGAGCGGCCAGAGAAACTTGATCTGGATGTAAATGGTGAAGCAATCGTCCAAAGCTATACGTTACGACGAATAATATCCATGCGAGCAAGTCACTCGTAGTGGATCCATGCTGAGCGCATATGAAATATCACTTGACTCCTGTAGATTAGGTATACAGACATATTCAGTGGGCAAGAAAAGTCACTGCAAACAACTGACTCCAGACAAATCCTTTAATTTCTGCTCTTATGCCTCGTCCACATGGTGGCCGGTGGTGCTTTCTGACATGAATAACTGTGGAGCAGGTATGAGGCAGCAGGTATGTGTAGTTGTGGGAAGTGCTTTGCGCACTGAGTGGCTGCTGTGCGCGCGGGGCAGGTGCAGAGATCGGGCTTCTGTGGGCGGGACATCGGTTTGGTCCAGCCTTGAGTTTTTGCGCACAATCTCAGTTGTGTGTTTTAGTTGATGTCTATGTTTGTGTTGGTTAGATTTTGTATAGGCTACATCTCACAAGCAAAGTATTAAACAAATTAAACCCACCTACATTATGGGGAGCAGGAGGAAAACAACGTAAACATTCTGAATAATTGTGTAGAAATTGTGGTGAAGAATTGTGGTAGAAGATCTTTCCAAAAAAAAAAAATATATATATATAGATAGATAGATAGATAGATAGAGATTGATGGATGGATGTGTGTGTATATACACACACACACACACACACACACACCTTGAGTTTTTGCGCACAATCTCAGTTGTGTGTTTTAGTTGATGTCTATGTTTGTGTTGGTTAGATTTTGTATAGGCTACATCTCACAAGCAAAGTATTAAACAAATTAAACCCACCTACATTATGGGGAGCAGGAGGAAAACAACGTAAACATTCTGAATAATTGTGTAGAAATTGTGGTGAAGAATTGTGGTAGAAGATCTTTCCAAAAAAAAAAAATATATATATATAGATAGATAGATAGATAGATAGAGATTGATGGATGGATGTGTGTGTATATACACACACACACACACACACACACACACACACACTAGAAAAAACAGACAATATCTGTATGTACAGGTATGTTTTATACAAATGCAGTGTATCTATCTATCTATCTATCTATCTATCGAGAGAGAGAGAGAGAGAGAGAGAGATAGTATATAAGTAGTATATATATATAAAGGTATATACTACTTATTACATATTTATTTCACTATAAATTCATAAAAAATATGTTATAATATATAGTTATTTTACTGTAGTAACTACAGTGTTGTTATTAGGGTATACATAATACAATGTACTTCTGAACCTATACAAATATTTGCAGTGGACTGTGAATAGACAACATTTGACACATTCACAAACACTATTTTTATAGGTTGTATGAGTTTTTAATGTTTTTAGAGTTGTTAACACATTTTGCGTTTCTACATTTGTTCTACAGTTTATTTACTGCTAATTTATTTGTTTACCATTTTCAATACAAATGGGTAGTAATGATGGGCAATGACATAATTATTTTGAACATGTTGAATTTGCCCTTGACAATAATTTGTAAATTTTTTTAGTTATAGGTTTCTATATTTAATTTGTAGCAGACAAATATGGGAATATTATATAAAAATCTGAGATATATGGACACACACACACACACACACAAACAAACAAACAAACAAAACACTTAGTTATAGTTGCTGAAAGAAAATCTACTGCTACAGCAAACCCAAACTGTCCTGTAGTATTTCAGCTGAAACTGTTTACCAATTTAAAGAGTGTAAAAGAAACCCACAAAAAAATTAAAGAAAGAACCACTTTTTGATGGAGGTCTTTTCCAAACGTTAAAACATAACATGTTGAGGTCTGAGGGCTTTAACTATGACTTCTAACTATGACCTGAATAGAAAGGACAGATGACTGCAAATACAGCTGCTAATGTGTTGATGCACCATGTGCTGCTGTAGCGAGGTCACATATTTCATCTCGCGATGAGTGAGCGCGGTCTGCCGCGGTGACACAGTCATGATGGCCGCCGTGCGTCGGTTTCTGGCTCTTCGAAACAAGTTCACCAGCTCTTCAAACGGTTTAAGCCTTTACTTTAACAGCAGACAGTCATGGAGGGAAAGAGCAGTTCTGAGGCGTGTAGGGACAGGACTGTGTATCACTGTCGGTGGATTCGCTGTTGTTTACTACCAGCACAATGCGAGTCTGCGTGCATTGATTTCTCCGTTGCCAGCAGTGGCTGCAAAAGAGAAGGTATCTAAATCTTAGTAGGCTACATTTTGAAATGTTTACGTTTGTATTTACACTGAATATTTCTATAGCATCCCAGTTTTTATTATTCTAAAAAACGTAAAATCGGTGAAGTTCATGTGCCATCAAAACTGTCGCTCTCCACTAGAGAGGTGCTGAATTCGGTTTCCCAATTCATCAGTCAGCACTGTGATTCTATAAAATATACATATTAAAGAAATATTGGAACAAATATTATAGGTGTTGTACATATTGTACATTTTATAGATATATTCTGCATGCGTAGTATTGACTTATGCTCTGAAAGGGTCATTTTACTAGGCATGCAAATTCAGTCAACAACCATTTCTCCTGTATTGTCAAAATCTCTTGCCAGTCAGATTTGTTGGTTTACATTAGTACATCAGTACTTTGATCTACATTGGTGTTTCCTAAACCACAATATTTTTCTTAGACTCGTATTGTGAGAGAGTAATGTTATTAGGCCTATTAGGCCTTTTAAAGTCACTTTTAGACAAAAAATAACAAATACTACGGGAGAAAAAAAACCTATATTCTGCTACAAGGGTCATCCGCACATATGCATGTCTTATAACACATATTATTTAGTTTTTCCTTAAAAATGTGCTATTTAATCATTAATGATTAATTATTATATTTTATAGGTTTAACAATGCAAAAGAAACCTCTGGATAATGTTTAAGTGGCTCTGGTACACATACTCTTGGTTTTGACTGTTGTCGAAAAAGCATTTATCAGACTGTTATCAGATTGATCATTAAACCACACAGGATTGAATCAGTCTTGTGTGACTCTGTCCGCACTGTTCCCTTTTGTTTTTGTACTCTTATCTGCTTGGGTCAGACGTAACCTTGAGTTGTGGATTGAGACGCAGGAATCCAGGGTTGAGGTAACTGGACACGGCAGCTTGGCAGCCGGGTCGACGTTTGATGGGGGTAATAAGTAGCAGGGCACACATTCCCAGGGTGTTTGCACAGTGCCCAGTGGGCCTGGCTGCCGGCCACTGTAGAGTGAGAAGAACACTGTCCTCTTGATATTTCTGCTTGTGGATGTTTGTGTGCATGTGTGTGTGTGTGTGTTTTTGTACAGGAGGAGGCCGTCCACTGAAAGAAGGAAAAAGAAGATGGCTAGCACTTTCTCCAATGTCACACCTGTCTTATCCTGTATTTCTACGTCCTCTAATTGAGATGTGAATTTGCTTAATTATAGGCCAGTGCATCTGCTGAAGATGAAGAGGTTTCGATGTCAGCCCATGAGCACAGGTTCAGGCTCTTCAGTTCACTGGAGTATGATGGACAGCTTTATATGACTCCCCTCGACTTCATTGAGTCCGTCACTATGAGCGAACCAAAGAGTGAGTTACACAAACAGTTAATAATCCTTCTTAGAACTCATTATATGATTGTGTTACTATAGACTACCACATGAAGCTCTCAGAATCCTAGTGGCTGACAAATAGCAAGTAACACTGACTGAGATAAATAATTGGCCCTTCGTGGGGAGTTTGATTGACAGGTCATCTGACCAATAACGCAGAATCTGCCATTTTTGTCTGGCAAACAAACCAGACAGTAGAGTATATTAACGTCGGTGGACTTGAACTTGAAAAATGATGTACTGATGTATTTAAGCGGTTGAAACAAGATACCTGCTGATGTTCATTTGTGTTTATATCGTGCTATATCTAGTAAAGAGGAAGAGATAATCAGTTCACGTGCCACTTGAACTGAGGTGCTACAGTGATCTGTCATGACACATTAAAGGGCCACAGAATGGTATTTATTTGTTGATTTTTTTTTTTACAAATGACAACATTTGAAAGCTGATATGAAAGGGTCAATTACCCAGCTAACAGGAAATGTTTTCAGAACTTTGACTAATATTCTGGAAAAGTTATGAACAAACGTTCTTCTAGTAACGTTACTAGAATGTTTATTCAGAGTTATCTGGTCTTTAATAATGTTCTCAAGACATTAGCACAAAAACATTACTGGACAATGCATCATTCATGGAACAGTTTATTTCGTGTAATGTTTTCATATGTTTCTACTTGTTTCAGGATATTTTGTGAACTTTTAAAAGCAACGTTCCTGTAATGGTTGCAAAATGACAAAATGGAATGTTACCGTAATGTTTGCATAACCAAAAAAAGTTCTAAAAATCTTAAAAAAACTGGGTGTTTTGAACATTCAGAGAACAATCATAAATAATGTTTTCATATCTTAATAGGAATGTTAGCAAAATGTTCTTTGGACAAAAGCTGGACAAAAGGGCTTCCTTCAGTTGACCTAGCCAATCTTAGTTAAAAGGATTATTCC